TTGCTCCTCAGCACTTACCACGGTGTAGTAGATTGTATATTTTATTTGAATACTAAATGAATATTTAGTATTTTCTCCCCCTGAAAGGATGTAAGTTTACAAGAACAGAGATTTTGTCTGTTTTCACACTGTGGTTACTATAACATCTAGAACACGGGCTGGCACATCTTAGTCGCTGGTGATTTGGTAAATACTGTCTGTTAGAAACTGCAATTTCTAACACATCCAACACCAGGATACGGCATTAGTCTTCACCTTTTTCCTTTAATTAAAAAAAAAAAAAAAAACAAGCCCACAGAAGAGTACAAAAATGACAACACAGAATTGATCCACTGTTTAACATCAGAACATAGTAAATATAAACCTCCTTTATAGTTAAAGACAAAAGCACACATAAAATTAAAGTATTTTTCAACTGTTAACTCGTAACCATCTAGGCTACCAGTATCACAGTGCATGTGTTTAAGAACTCTTCTTTTCCTTAACAATGGCTCCAAATCGAAAGAGGAGTGATGCTGGCAATTCAGATATGTCAAACAGATGCTGTAAAGTGCTTCCTTTGAGTGGAAAGGTGAAAGTTCTTGACTTAATAAGGAAAGAGAGCAAAAATTGTATGCTGAAGTTGCTAAGATCGACAGTAAGAATAAATCTTCTGTCTGTAAAATTGTGAAGAAAAATAAAGTTGTGCTACTGTGCTGTTGCACCTCAAACGGCAAAAGTTACAGCCACAGGGTGTGGTAAGTGCTTAGTGAAGCGGAAAGTGGCATCCGTGTGCAGGAAGGCATGAGCCGGAAACTGTTCTGATTGGCCCCGGTGTTTTGCACCTGAAAGCACTGAGCCTACGGGAAGGGACGCCCTGAAACGAGTGACAGCATTCACATACCGTTCTTTGTAGTAAGCTGTTATAATTGTTCTGTTTCAGTATTATTGTTGCTAATCTCTCACTTGCCTAATTTATAAGTTAAACTTCATTATATGTGTGTACAGGAAAAAAACGGCACATGTAAGGTTTGGTGCTATCCATGGTTTCAGGCATCTGATGGAGGTCTTGCAACTATTAGGGGCAGAAATAGAATATTAGACACTAGCTAAGAAATATTACCAGCAATCATACTCTTTAACCGTAATTGTTCTTTTCTGATTACAGAAGGCACATTTTCATTTCCCTGGGAGTGTACGCCCTGGAACATGGGCACTCACAGCGGAATGCCGGCCATCCTCCTGTCCCGAGAGCTGCCTATCATTATGGAAAGATTGGCAGCCTGTGGCTGAGACCATCTAGTCCCAGAGGCACCTGCTCTTTACAACCTGAGTTTATTGCCTGTGATCTGGTCCTGGGGCACCTGGAGGTGCCTGCCCTCTGTGACCTCCCCCCGCCCCCGCCCCCCTCCGCCAGCCCTCATGGCTTGTAACCTGCAATGAGTATCCCGTGCCCACGTCCCCATGCCTGTAATTCCTACGTTCCCATGTCATCTTTGTTCTTCTGCCCAATATAGAGAGCTGGCTTATGGGAGGAGGGGGGTTGGGGGGGAGAGCAGATTTTTGTGGATGACCTGTTGCTCTTCCACACTGCCGGAAATATTGGAATAAATGCTCATATAGGATTCAGCCCCGTCTCTGCTGAATTGGCAATTATAATACCTCTGGGATAAGGAGGACTTACTGCACTGCATTTCTCAAGATTGAATCAAAGCTATGTCATATGTCACATCGTTAGCAATAGCTTCAGGTGACCCATGAGAAGATCATTTCTGTGGGAAGGGACTTCGGGATAACTTTTAGTCGAGGAGCAAAGACTGGGAAGGTAAGACAATGTGGCGAATGACAGGGCATCGTGGCAGCCAGGATTCCTCAAAGTATCAACCTCCCATTACAGACTTCATTTTGGAGGTTTGGTGCTGACCTTAGAGATCTCCAAGCTTCAGAATTCCCCAACCCACCCCAGAGGCCCAGAAACTCCTTGTGCGGGGCATGTCCCTCTGGCAGAGACCGAGTGCCTGCTGATGAGGCTGGGAGCAGGAAAACGGGACTGCGACTGGCTTACCTCCCCGCCCCCTCCTTGTCCCCCCCCACCCGCCCCCTGCCCACCGTTCCATACTCCTCAGCCAGAGCCATTGCCTTTCATTAGCACTGGTGTCTGATGAAGGGCAAGAGTGTAATGGCCACTGTAATGAGAAGGCATCTTCACAAGATCAGGCAGGCAACTCCACAGAATTTATTGCAGATCATTTACTTACAGGACAATTGGGCTGCAGCAGCCAGCCAGCCGGCAATATTGCACAAAATATGCTCCCTATCTGTTGCAGTGCCGTTTAAAATCATATAATTCAGGTACCAATGATGGACAAGACAAAGGGACAAAGAATGTGGTAGCACTGGGTATATACTCCTGGTGGTTTTGTGATGAATGATTGGTTTTCATCGATACTATAAACAGTTTGATACTTATCTCAATTTTCATGGCATCCTGGTTATTGCTAAAATATATACTTATGGTATGTGGACGAAAAGGGGCCACATGCTAACCTGACTACTCCGGGAAGGCCTGCCTGACAGCCTTGCAAACTCAGAGACCTAAAGTAACCACAAAGGATGTTCTGAAATGAAAACCTTTTAATTAAAAAACAGTTTATAGTAGGTAGGCATGTCCTAGGCCAGTATCTTCCTTGACAAAGACCAACTTTGATCTTTACTGAGCATGTTGTCTTTTTGCATCTAAGATAACATACCTGTGACATGTCAGGGTAACTTGCAACTTCCCTTTTTCCGGACCCTCAGGGTGCAACCAATGGCACCAGAGCAGAGACCATTCCCTCTTTGTTGTTATCTGTTAATTGTTGCCTGTTAACTATCCTGTACTCATCTGTGTGTGTGTGAAGGAAACATGTCTATCATTTTACTTTTTATCCAATCACCGAGGTTTCCCCACTTTGCTTTCTCCCACCTCCCAGATCTATCACCAATGGATTTCCTGTAACCCACTTGATGGTAACTTATAAAAATAGGTGAAAAACCACCATTCTCCAGTGCATTGTCTTAATTCGTTGAGATTCTGCTCTCGGCAATGGTGGACAGTTCGGCTCAAATGAACTCACATTCTTTACCGATCGGAACGTTCCTTAGGTAACAGCTGTTGTAAGGAACACGGAGCCGCCAACAGGAAAGCGTGGCTGTGCTGGCTAAGGACAGTGACGTTGGTCAGTCACAGCGTGAAACAAAAATGAAAGGACGTTAGGGACAGAGACGGGGCTGGTGGCGGAGGAAAGGCGTGTCCGACTGGTGGTGAGTCCAGGAAACGTCACCGGGATGCTGTCCACTGACAACGGGTGTGTTTCAGAACCAGGATCCCATTGGTTGAACAGAAAGGGCTGTAACTTGCCGCCAATGGCACAGACTCACGTTCGCGCCGCGGCGCGACTATAAAGAGGGCAGCTGCGGGCGACTCAGCTCAGATCAAGGTCTGAACGGAGGTTTCCTGTTCATCATGTCGGGACGCGGCAAGCAGGGCGGCAAGGCGCGCGCCAAGGCCAAGACGCGCTCCTCGCGGGCCGGGCTGCAGTTCCCCGTGGGCCGCGTGCACCGGCTGCTCCGCAAGGGCAACTACGCCGAGCGCGTCGGGGCGGGCGCGCCCGTGTACCTGGCGGCGGTGCTGGAGTACCTGACGGCCGAGATCCTGGAGCTGGCGGGCAACGCGGCGCGCGACAACAAGAAGACGCGCATCATCCCGCGCCACCTGCAGCTGGCCATCCGCAACGACGAGGAGCTCAACAAGCTGCTGGGCAAGGTGACCATCGCGCAGGGCGGCGTGCTGCCCAACATCCAGGCCGTGCTGCTGCCCAAGAAGACCGAGAGCCACCACAAGGCCAAGGGCAAGTGAGGAGCACGTCGCCACATCCAAAACCAAAGGCTCTTTTCAGAGCCACACACACTTTCACTAAAGAGCTTGCCGTTGCCATGTAGGAGCAGCTACTTGAGAATGTTCCCTTCCACCCACCAGGAGGCGTCACTGTAAACACCCTGTAGACGGGAAAGGAGCTCCAGTGAACACAAAGCTAGCGACAGTGTGGTCACTAAGGGATAGAGAGACTCTGCGCCCGGTAATTAACGCAGGAAAGCGGCAGGCCCTCGGGCTCTAACCTGGACAAAGCACGACCGGAACACGCGGGGTGGAAGGTGACTAAATGCAAATAGAGTTAGTGGCCCGCAGGGCGATGAAACCACTCCTGTCTCTTGTTCGTGTGGTTTTGTATCTTAATGGCACACATCTTCGCTAACGCCCACCTCCTAGCCTAGGGGGACCTAGTGGGTTAATAGGAAAGCAACGCTGCCCGCCCCGGGTTCGCGTCCCTTCCGCGGAGCTTCTCTGCGCGGGGCCCAGCGTGACTGGCACCGTCCTCTTTCTCTCCACTTACTCGTTTGAGGACGTGTTTTCTTAACCCCCTTTTACACAAGTCTCACTTCAAATGGTTAAACGTGGTGGGATGCTGCCTATGAACGTGGTAGGGAAAGGCCAATGTCAATCGAGCTAGAATATCAAATGTGAAATGGAGTTCAACAGACATGTAGAAAGGCCTACGGAACATTTTAAAGTCTGAGTTTAAATAGAGCAATGAAGAAACCGACGGGAAATCCTCTTTCCTAAACCTGCAGGAGACTGAAAAGTCACTTGGCCAATCCCACGTAGCGCGCGCTTTTTTCAAAAAGATCAAAGGGAAGCCAGTTTCCGGCGTCAAAATTTAAAATTTTTATTCCGCGAACAAGATATTTACATGAAATTCTGCGGAGCAAAGACAGAGAACATTGTAAAGAAAATGCGTACAGACCGAGCGACGAGAAAGCGTAGGAAACAGCCTCTGCTGAAGGGTGGCTGGGAGGAAGAAGGTAAATTCTGATCCAAACGCCCGGAGGCTCGGGGATCAAAAAGCGGACGCGGCTTCCAATCACGTCACTGCGGGCCTTGATGGGCAGGCGCCTCCTCCAATCACAGCGGCACTTGCCTTATATATACCGGTTGCGAGCCCGCGCTGCCATTCCTTCAGCAGTTCTCTGCTTGTTTGTGTTGGGAATGGCTCGGACCAAGCAGACGGCGCGCAAGTCCACGGGCGGGAAGGCGCCCCGCAAGCAGCTGGCCACCAAGGCCGCCCGCAAGAGCGCGCCGGCCACGGGCGGCGTGAAGAAGCCGCACCGCTACCGGCCCGGCACCGTGGCCCTGCGCGAGATCCGCCGCTACCAGAAGTCCACGGAGCTGCTGATCCGCAAGCTGCCCTTCCAGCGCCTGGTGCGCGAGATCGCGCAGGACTTCAAGACCGACCTGCGCTTCCAGAGCTCGGCCGTCATGGCGCTGCAGGAGGCGTGCGAGGCCTACCTGGTGGGGCTGTTCGAGGACACCAACCTGTGCGCCATCCACGCCAAGCGCGTCACCATCATGCCCAAGGACATCCAGCTCGCGCGCCGCATCCGCGGCGAGAGGGCCTGAGCTCTTGGCGGGCGGCAACCTGGAATCCAAAGGCTCTTTTCAGAGCCACTTCCGTCCTCACTGACAGTGGCTGTTGCACTTCTAGTTTACGCGTTAAAAACGCAAGCCCGGCGCACAGTTTATGGAAATGGCGTCCCCTCCAGAACTATGGGTATCATATTCCTCAGCCAATTGGGTGTCAAGATTGGCAAGGCCTCACGTTCAGTGTTTACAGTACAGTAGCTATTTAGGGAAACTAAGTTGCTTAGCCAACTGTTGCTTTAAACACCAGCACTTTCAAAGGCAACTATGCGTCCGCAAAGATAAGTCACCGCTTGGACCCTTGTTATCCGCGAGGAAAGAGCTAAAGTGAAGGAACCTGTCCACAGGGAAGGAATTAGGCCCATCCGGTAACAAGGGGTTCAGCGCATAGATCTTGGTACCTCCCTTACCCACGTCTGATAGTCACAAACATGCTAATTACCTCTGGTCGTCGAACCTGAAAATACCTCTCAGGGTCTAGACAGGCAATTTATGCCCCCTCTCTAGTTCTACTAGAAGTTTCTCTTCCAAAGGCCCTCAACTACTGGAGGATAAGGCCATGCAGGTTCCTTTCAACAAGTCTGGGAAGGAAAGGAGAAGATGGCATTCAGCCTCCAATGGCTGTAGGAAAACAAAGTTGAATTAGGGTTATTCTGGTTTTCACTTGCCTAAGTGGCCTAAAAGAGGGTTTGGAGGAATGACAGTTCTGTGTTAGAAACTTTGAGTGTAGTGGTTTATTAACACTCTGAAGGAAAAGAATCTTATTTTAAAAATGGACACAGCTGAGTGGCTAGCAATTATACGAATAACTTTTAAACATCACCTGTAATCAGATAATGCAAATCAAAACCTTGAAATATTGCCTAATACCCAGTAAATGATCAAAATCAGAAAGTTGGGTTTGCCAAGTGTTGCATGAGAGGTAGAGAAACGTGGTGGTTTACTGATGGTGGGGGCTGGGTGAAAAATGTGAAGAGATTAAAATAAAAGGATTTGGGAGTCATTAGTAAATAAAAGTATTTAAAGAAAAGGAGTGCCTACAGATCCCTCCTGGCTCTTTCCTACCTCTTTTAACCTTTAATTTAGTGCCAGTATCCAGTTTCAAATCAGTTGTGTGCACACATCACAAGCCCTGGGTCTGGCGATGCTAATTCTGTGCTGGAATTCCTGTACTTTCTTTCAATTTCTAATTCCTTTGCCCTCGGCCCAGAAGTTGCTTCTTACGGATCTGACTCCTCCCTATGTTCCCCTCGTATCCTGTGTCTACTTTCCTGCTACATGTGCTTTAGTGTTCCTCCCCCTTAGACTGAGCTCCTTTAGAACAAGCAGTGTCTCACTGACATTCTTAACTGGTGGGACCTAAGAGTGAGGTACATTATTTGTTGAAAGTATAAATGCGTTATAATTTACAAAAACGACAAACAGAAGAAATAGTCGTTGGGCCTGCATTTCTTGAAATGGCAAACTGGGAAGTGGCCTAAACGTTCCAATCTTTTCCAAGGCCTAGACTAAAAGGACCTCGCCGTGCTGGTATAGACATGAGAAACACACCACAATGTCTGACCTCTCTATTCTCAAAACAGCCTCAGCTTTATTCAGAGAAGTTGGTTTGTATTTTTCAAACTGTAGGTCTCCACCATCACTGCTCTTGGAATCCACTTCTTAGCATCTAGTGGTCATTGCTATTGTAACCGGACACTCAATGGGTCCTTGCTGCCTGTCACTGCTTCAGCCAGTTCAGCAGAGACAGGGCAGAATCATATCTGAGCATTTATTCCAATACTGCCGACAGCAGGGAGAGCAGCAGGTCACCCACAAATATCTGCTCTGCACCCCACCATAAGCCAGCTGCATATATTGGGTAGGACAAAGATTACATGGGAAGTAAACAAAAGGGTATGGCAAATGGGCAGTGTACAGGTAATGCAGGCTGGAGATTTGCAAAGGCCTGCAAGTATAAAAAGGCTGGGGGTCTTCAAAGGGCTGGCAGTTCTGGTGTCTGCAACAAGGTTGTTAATCTTTCCATAAGAATAGGCAGCTCCCTGATGGGGAGGACAGGCGAGCTCCCAGGTTCCACGTGCAACCCCCAGCCAGGATAGACTGTGCCTTTAATCAGAACAAAACAATCACGGTTAACAGAGCAGGGTTAATATTTCTTACAATTATAGCTGGTCCCCAACATTGTATTTCTGCCCCCTAGCACTGATATGTGCACATCTAGCATGCCTGTGGTATTATACTGCCAAGTAGTCTTATAAATTAGTGAGGTGCTTTTACAAATTCAAGACAATTACTTATTAAAGGTTCCAGATTTGCCACCTTCCGGCTGACACACAATGGGTGTCTATGGAAACCACCCCTATTAATGTCCCCTCAAGAGATGCTCGGATTTGCTGACACCTGTCACTTAAGCTAATTTCCAGTATGAACCTGGGTGAACATCTTGGGATGATAGTCAGCATGGCATTGAAATTCTAGCCCGTCAAGAACACAACTAAGTCAACTTGTCTGGGTTGCAAAAGCTTCCGAGAGCCAATTCTGAAATGTGGCCAGGCTGAGGCAAGGACGGCACCTTGTGTTGGGTAACAAATTACACTGAATGGGTAAGAGGTGAAAGTGATTGGAAATGCAACTAAGTCGTGCTGCCCTTCCAGTGACTAGAGGGGCTCTGAAAAGACCCTTTGTTCACTTGTTTTCAAACGTGATTTTTATTTGGCCTTGTGGTGGCTCTCGGTCTTCTTGGGCAGCAGCACGGCCTGGATGTTGGGCAGCACGCCGCCCTGCGCGATGGTCACCTTGCCCAGCAGCTTGTTGAGCTCCTCGTCGTTGCGGATGGCCAACTGCAGGTGGCGCGGGATGATGCGCGTCTTCTTGTTGTCGCGCGCCGCGTTGCCCGCCAGCTCCAGGATCTCGGCCGCCAGGTACTCCAGCACCGCCGCCAGGTACACGGGCGCGCCGGCTCCCACCCGCTCGGCGTAGTTGCCCTTGCGGAGCAGCCGGTGCACGCGGCCCACGGGGAACTGCAGCCCGGCCCGCGAGGACCGCGTCTTGGCCTTGGCGCGCGCCTTGCCGCCCTGCTTGCCGCGGCCGGACATTCTGGCTACAAACTTCACTGCAAGTGGCTGCAAAAGCGAAAGTGCGCGGGCGGCACTTTTTATAAACGTTTGTGGCGCGAAGAAGCAGGTGTGTCATTGGTTCAGGTTTCAACTTCTTCTAAACCAGTGAACGTGCAAGTTTGGGATTCTGGCGCTCTGATTGGGCAGAGCTAAGTTTTCAAGGTTGCTCTCGGAGCCAACACAGGGCTCTGGTTTATCACCTTATTTGCATGGGAGGTTCTATATAAACAGGACACAGCGCGCTCCACTCTTACTCTCCCCTTTCGCCAACCACCTCCGCTGAGCTCTCTACCATGCCCGAGCCCGCCAAGTCCGCGCCCGCCCCGAAGAAGGGCTCCAAGAAGGCGGTGACCAAGGCGCAGAAGAAGGACGGCAAGAAGCGCAAGCGCAGCCGCAAGGAGAGCTACTCGGTGTACGTGTACAAGGTGCTCAAGCAGGTGCACCCCGACACCGGCATCTCGTCCAAGGCCATGGGCATCATGAACTCGTTCGTCAACGACATCTTCGAGCGCATCGCGGGCGAGGCGTCGCGCCTGGCGCATTACAACAAGCGCTCGACCATCACGTCCCGCGAGATCCAGACGGCCGTGCGCCTGCTGCTGCCCGGCGAGCTGGCCAAGCACGCCGTGTCCGAGGGCACCAAGGCCGTCACCAAGTACACCAGCTCCAAGTAGACGCGCGAGCAAGCGGCCCGACTCCTGACCCAAAGGCTCTTTTCAGAGCCACTCAGTCTTCTAAAAAGAACTGTGACTCACTCTTGATACCGGGTAAGTGTTATTTGCGGTAAAGCAGTTGGCGGGGGTTCTTTCCGCGGTCTAGTTGTGAACTTTCACTGCGATGCAGCGCAGGCTGAGGCCACCTCTACATTTTGAGATTGATTTATGTCAGGAAGTATCCGGTTCTTAGACAAGCGCAGTAAAGAAAAACAAAATGCTCATTGTAAAACAATCCAATCACACTTAACCATGTTAACCGCTACAGGCCTCTGTGAGGTTTGAATGTCCTATTCCTGCCGTGTGTGCCTTGGTAATGTGGCATTTCGCACCCACTGAAGGTTCCGGCTGTCTATTTCCCTTTGGCGGGTGGACGACGCTAGTACCCTTCCCCTGTGCGCTGGTTTCCTAAGGATGAAGTTAGAAAGCCGAAAGGGAGAAAGGTATCTCACGCATCCGTCAGCTCAAAGTGGGCAGCAGTAACAGCCAATCCAGATGTACAGGAAGTTTGGAAGGAACGACATCCCTGTGCAATTCTATTATTGCTTTAATACGATTCAGGGTTCATTGCAGAACTGTGGGCCTTGAGGCTTTGTGAGAGGAACCGCCATTTTACCCACTTCCTCAGTTTTCTAAGTGAAGTTACCTTTCCTGTCAAATCAAATCCATGTTTTTTCTCTGCTTCACTTGCATGTACTCTTTCTCTACTAACTGGAAGAAAATTTTAAAGATTGGAAAGTAGAGCAGAAAAAAAAGAACAAGGGGAGCAGTGGGCCATTCCCTGCCCCCAACCCAGGATGTCAAAATCCACCTCTCCATTGTAAGCCCTTGGGGACAGCATAGGTGTTTAAAACGTGTGGTCTTTTCCCAGGATCATCATGGAATGACTTCCACACTGAATGTATTTGCTGAAGCGTTCTGATAATGCCCTGTATGCAGTTACGGGCCCCCTGGTGATTCAGTTCACTCCCAGGTGTTTACATGAGAGTATTCTGCACACTTGGCAGTGAGATCTGTGAGAACTGAGCAATGCTATTTTGAATGGCAAAATACTAGAAGCAACCACATGTTAATGGCCAATATGTCTATTTGGGTGCATTCATACAGTGGGATAGCATATCGCACAGAAAAGGATTGAAATACACAGCACTTCAATGAATTTTAGAAACAAATCTCAGAAGGTTGATATATATGTGGTACCTTTTTATAAAGCTTGAAAATAAAGCCAAATTTCTCTTTTTAAAAAAATGTATCTTATTGATTCTTCACAGAGAGGAAGGGAAAGGGATAGAGAGTCAGAAACACCGTTCACCTGCCTCCTGCACACTCCCCACTGGGAATGTGCCCACAAACAAGGTACATGCCCTTGACCGGAATCGAACCTGGGACCCTTGAGTCTGCAGGCTGACGCTCTATCCACTGAGCCAAACCGGTTAGGGAAAGACCAAATTTCTCTTGAAGCACATGTGTGTGATTTAAAAAAAAAATTTTAAAGAATTTTAAGAGGTAGTTTCATAAGTAAATGTTTTTAAATAGCAGGCAGTGCCTACCTCTGATCCACGCAGGGCAAGGGAATGAATAAGGAAAAGCTCTGAGGTAGAAATAGAAGCTGTATAAAACAAGTTCCAAGAATCATCTCTGTAATCATAAGGAAATCCTGTGAGGACCCCACGCCTACTGGTACATCTCTCGACTGTATGGCTTTCTCTTCGAGAGTAGAAGAAAAAGACCGACAGGCCACTGGAAGAACATGTAGATTCAGAAAACGCAAGATTTTAGCTCAGTCAGCCGCCCATCTTCTCCAGCTGTTACTCAGCTTCTCATAGAACCTACGACAGCCCTCTGCAGGGCCATGCATGTGTTTGTACGCACGTGTGTGTATTTAGTCTATACTGTTATGTACTTTGTAACTACAGTGGGGCCTTGACTTATGAGTGTCCCGACTAACGAGTTTTTTGAGATACCAGCCGTCTCTCGGCCAATTTTTTGCATTGAGTTGAGAAAGTAATTTGAGTTAACGAGCTCAGTCTCGGAGCGAATTAAACTCGTAAGACAAGGCCCCACTGTATATGTGTGTCTACCCTTCCCTCAATTCTGTTATAAGAGAAATCACACTTTTTTAAAAAAAGTATCTTCTCTCCTTCCACATCGCAAGATATTTGAGGATAGTAAGTTCCCCATACATTTGGGGTTTTTAAATCACTACTTTTCAAAGCACAGGTGCCTTTGATTCGGCCTTTATTGCACAGATGCAGGAAATAAACAGCCAATTCTGATATTGTCTTGTCTTGTAGAATGAGGGAATCCGAAGATAATATCCAGGAGAGAAAATGGGAACAGAATTTAGAGGCATTGAGATACCTAAACACTAACGTCCCGGGCCTGGAGAATGAATATGTCAGAGTCTCAGAAGGAAGAACGCAGGAGGCCGAAGTGGTACAGGCTGATAAGTGGATTAGGTCATACGGATACCAGATGGCCTGAGTCCCAAAATGGTGCCAGCACCCGGGGATGGAGGGTCAGAGGTTTTAAAGGACTCGGCGGCTTCCTCTGGGCGGAAAACTGTCTGGGGGGATCTGGATCCTAGGAAGGGCTGGAGGGGAAGAATAAAGGTCTTAGCAAGTGGACTGTGGTCTGAGCGAAAGGGAACGTCGGTTGTGAAGTGGCCTAAAGGTCAGTTCGCAGGGGAGGGAGTATCGATTCAATTATTTGATCAGACCTAACGTATAAATGTGTGTTTTGTGTCAGGGACTGCTTGAGTGACCTGGAATTGTGGGCAGAGAAGACGATGTCTAGAAGAACATGGAGGACGGTGGCTAAAGTCAGCAGGAAGGAGATGAACATGCAGAGGGCATTTTGGCCCATCTAGACAAGGTTCACACAGCAGGGCCCTCACACGCCAGCACTTATGTCACTTTATTGGTTTTCATTGGAATTTATAGCTGGCAGCTTCAATAATTCACATGATTTGCTCCAAATAATTTTTGTCAATATTTTTTACCTAAAGAATAATTTCTAGAACAGAGAGAAAGAGATTGAAGCATAGAAACAGATGAGAGAAATCTGATTCTAAAGGACAGTTTTTCCTGAGTTTGATCACCTGAGTAGACTGATGCTTGCTAGCTGGGTGTTGTGGATACTTCAACAAGCCTGTGATTCTCTCTTTTTCTTTAATCTTCACTCAAGGATATGTTTATTGATTTTTTTTTTTTTTTTTTTTTTTTTTTTTGAGAGAGAGAGAGAAGAGGGAGGGAGGAAGAGAGAGAAACAACACTCCAAAAGAGCCACCCAGCCAGCCAGGGTGAGCCTGTGATTGCCGGAAGCCGGTCCACCCTTGCTGCTTGACACAGTCGCTGCAGGGAAGAAACATCTGCACAGCATATGTTTCAAGGGACCTGGCGTATATGGCATATGTTTGTACCCCCTCTTAGTGCTATGTGTTTTAACCAGGACCCACCTCCCTGAGGAAGGTTGTTTCCCCAGGTGGGGATTTTCCCCTGGTGTTAGGGATTAACAGGACTAAGGAAGGGAATAAATCAGTAAAACCCCTTAACTAAGTGCCAGGTGGGTAGTTAATCACCTTAAGTACGAACAATCACGCTTAAATTACATAATCTTTACTTAGGATAATCTCCTTCAGTTACTTTCTTGTAGCTTAACAGAACAATAGAGTAGTGACCTTGGAATGGAGATAACACCTTTGGGATAGAATGGATAGGATTAAAATCAACCGAACTAGATGGAGATAGGATTTTTGGCAAAGGTCAGATAAGAAACTATGGACATGAAACAAGGAACTGTAGGAGGTTAAGGGAGGACCCAAAACATACCATGATGTGATTATAGAGGCATGCTTATAGGATCAAATGGTATAAATACAGATGTAATGAGAGAATAAAGAGAGAACCTGGCTATGCTGATCATCTGAACACTGTCTCCGTGTCATTCCTTTTGCACTGACTCTGTCCACACCTTTGGGAACCCCTGGACCTGCTGGGGCTAGACCCCAACATGTGATTCTTCAGCAAAATGGAGATAATAACAAGGCCCCAGTTTTTTTAGGACTTTATAAGATATGGCGTACACTGCGGACGAAAGGGGCCACCTGCTAGCCTGACCAGCTCAGGGGAGGACTGTGTGGTGGCCTTGCAAACACGAGAGACCTAAAGTCACCACAAAGGATGGTCTGAAGTGAAAACGTTCTAACTAAAAGCAGTTTATGGCAGGTAGTCCTAGGCTAGCTTCTTCCCTGACAAGAGTCTATCTTTACCATAACTAAGCCTGTCTGTTGTCCTTCCCATCCAACGTCCTTTTTTTCTGAACCCTCAGGGC